CGCATATGAACAGTACTCGTCTTGTCCAGATGATTTGGCCAAGAATACGTTTCTGTCGAGTTTGAAGGAGCAAAATGAGGTGTTGTATTTTAAGGTGAGACATGTGTCAGTTGTAAGAGTGAGCGAGGGTTTGTTGACTCGGGTTCAGTTGCTGTTGGATCATCTGAAGGAAATGCTCAGTGTTGTCTACACACCTACCGAGGGTGAGGCCATCCAGAGATACTCGCGCATCTTCAGGAGACCGCAGGGCGTGTTCTTGAACATTCATGATATTGACCGCGTGCATCATGATCTATCGCTGTGGGGCACAGAGGTTGATATCGACTACATCGTGGTCACGGGTGAGAACTTATCAGCTTATCATTGTGGATGGTGGCGATGATGGCTGACGCGCCTCAGACGGCGAGCAGATCCTTGGCATCGGCGACCAAGGATGCGGCGGCATCTTAATCTCAATCGCCAAGCTTATCCTCATGACGGTCTGCGGCGGGATGCATCCCAACCGTGTGCTGCCCGTAGTGCTGGACTGCGGCACCGACAACGAGGCGCTATTGAACGACCCGCTGTACCTGGGCCTCAAGGAGAAGCGGATTCGCGGGGAAAAGTACGACAAATTGGTCGAGACCTTCGTCAAGTCTGCAAGGGAGTTGTACCCGAAGGCGTACATCCACTTTGAAGACTTTGGCTTTTGGAATGGTGAGCGCGGCAAGAGAATGGCTCTGAGGCGGTGTTGACTCGGCTGCAGCACGAAGATTACTCGACAAGTGGCGGCCAGAAATCCCCTGCTTCAACGACGACGTCCAGGGAACGGGCTGCGTGACTCTCGCCGCGATCTTCGCCGGGTTGCACATCTCAAAGCAGAAGCTGGGCGATCTTCGCTTGGTCATCTTTGGCGCTGGGACGGCCGGCGTGGGTATCGCAGACCAAGTTCGGGATGCCATCGCAACAGAGCGGGGCGTCAGCAAGAAGGAAGTCGCCAAGCAGATATGGTACGGAGCCTCCTGACAATTGCCTGGAGATCTTGCTAACCGCACCAACCAGGCTCATTGACAAGCAAGGCCTTCTAACGGACAAAACAAAGGGGCTGTCTGATAGCCAGAAAACCTTTGCTAGAAAAGACTGGAGCGACAAGAAGTCCGATTTGTTGAGCGTGGTAAAGGAAGTCAAGCCAAACGTCCTAGTCGGAACGTCAACGGCGCCAAAGTCCTTTACTGAGGAGATCGTTCGAGAGATGGCATCGCACGTGGAACGGCCCATTATCCTCCCGCTGTCGAACCCGACGAAGCTTCACGAGGCGGTGCCTGCCGACCTGCTTAAGTGGACCGACGGGAAGGCACTCGTGGCCACGGGCAGCCCGTTCAGACCAGTCAAGGGCCCATGGGGAGAAGACGGCAAGGAGATCGAGATGGAGGTGGCGGAGTGCAACAACAGTGTTGTTTTTCCAGGGATTGGTCTCGGAGGCGTGCTGTGCCGAACTAAACTCGTCACCGACAAGATGCTCGTCGCAGCGGTTAACGGGGTGGTGGAGATGAGCCCGGCGCTGGAGGACGACACGGCGCCATTGCTGCCGGGAGTCGACGTGGTGCGCGAGGTGAGCGTGAGGGTCGCGCGGAAGGTGATTCAGGCTGCGGTCGAGGAAGGAGTGGCGACGGAGAAGCGGATACCGGAGGGGGACGAAGAGCTGGACGGATGGATCATGGAGCAGATGTGGGATCCCGTATATCGACCGCTCACGTACGTTGAGGCTCACACGGCAAGTCGTCAAGCCAAGGGAGAGCTACGAGTCGTGGGGAGTTTGCCGCAGAGGGATTAGGAGATATTTTGAGTCAATTGGAACAGCCCTGGTGGTTTTCTTCGTTCTAAAGATTAGATCTCGAATAATTGATTGAGTTTGGCGTGACAGTTGGTTGAAAATCCCAGGGCTGAAGCTTTTCAGGGATCGATTGGGTTGGTGTTTTGGACTGGTTCACAACCCTAACCCTGGTCTTTAGCCCCTCAAATCGGGGTTAGGGTCACTAAAAACAGGGACCCGGACACGTGACCGCTCACAAACTGGGTAGGGTTTCTGGTCCACACCAAAAATTATCGCGACTGGCCCTCAATTTCCAGGTGTGTTCTGCGTCTCCCGAAATTTCGACTCCCCATCGACAAGTCGCATTTCCGCAACCACACCGACACAATGGCCAAGATCTCGTGAGTCTATGCCGTTGCACTGCGTTTTCCGCCGTTTTTGATCAGCAGCCGCCGAACCTGCCGACCGGCACTCTCCGCCACTGCAAACGAAGATTTGGAAGAGGGGGAAGTGCTGTTTGGGCAGACAGGAATGAAGAATTGCAGGGAGAGCGACGGTCGACAGCGGCACGCGGAAGCTCTCGAAAATCTGCGCTCGAAATTGCGCCGCTCGTGCTAACTTGCTTGAACAGGCGTGGTGCCCCTGGTGGCAAGCTTAAGATGACCCTGGGTCTCCCGGTGTACGTGCGATTCCGTTCCTGCCCACCCGCAAACCGATTCCCGATCGAACAGACCGACGAGACCTGAAAGGAAGGAATTTTCTCCGAGGCACACCGCTAACAGGAGGACAGCGGTGCCATCATGAACTGCGCCGACAACTCGGGTGCCCGCAACCTGTACATCATCTCCGTCAAGGGTATCGGTGCCCGCCTCAACAGGCTGCCCGCTGGTGGTGTCGGCGACATGGTGATGGCCACAGTCAAGAAGGGCAAGCCTGAGCTCAGGAAGAAGGTTCACCCCGCCGTCATCGTCCGCCAGGCCAAGCCGTGGAAGCGCTTCGACGGTGTCTTCCTCTACTTCGAGGACAACGCCGGTGTGGTACGTGGTTCCGGGCAGGGAACTTTGGGGAAAACAGGGACCATACCGCTGGATGGGAACCTGCTCTTTCCTCGGGTCAACTGCGTCTTTCTTTGCAAGGGTTGAATGCTAACGGCTCGGCAGATCGTCAACCCCAAGGGTGAGATGAAGGGCTCCGCCATCACCGGCCCCGTCGGCAAGGAGGCTGCTGAGCTTTGGCCCCGTATTGCCAGCAACTCCGGTGTTGTCATGTAAAGGGTTTCTTGGGCTAGCGATGGGTCTTCGGCGCGTGGGATTTCGGGAACGACCGATTCTGTCACCGGCAATAATCTTCCGTTTCAGACGAGGAGGATCGGGACGACAGGCCACAAAAGGCTTGGGCCGGATGGACAGGCTTTGCATTTCTGGCTGCGGCGTGCTAGGGGGTCATACCAGTGCATGATATAACGGTCAATTCAGAATCAAGTTCTTCGAACCCAGGTGCTCCTGGCCCGGCATTTCTTGACAATTGGCTGCAATCGGTGTGCCTTGGGATCACGATGCGATGGCGCGTCGCGACACAGGAACCGACAACAACACTGCAACATCCATCGACTGGGCTCCTTCGAGCGACTCCGCCACCACGACAATGCTTTCCAGAATTTTGGCCCGGCGTTTGCGCCGCGAGGCGGAGGCTGCGTATAATCTACATTCATCCCGCCTCTCCTTCACCCTTTCAGCCAGTCCAACAACGGCCGGTGGAATTTCTCTGGCGCCTGGATCTGCGGCGCATGTCCCAGGTCAGGGAACTCGACGAGTGTGCTGTTCGAAATGGCAACCAATGCCTCCCTCCCCAGAACATCGTAATGCCCCAACCTCTCCTGCACCTCCAGCGGTGACCACTGCTTCCCAATCGCCGTCGTATCCTTCGTCCCAATCAACAACAGCGTCCTCGCCTTCAACATCCCAAACTCGTACACCACCGGCTGCGTCAACACCATATCCACCACCCTCGCCTGGCACTGCACAAACGCCTCCCCCTCCCTGCCCCGGTACACCTCCACCAACATGTTAACCCACGTGTCGTACTCCGGCGCCCACGTCCCTGCGTAGTAGGTTGTCTGCTCGTACGCACGGATGCTAGCATATGTGCTGGCGCGCTCAGTGCGCGCGGTTTCGTCGATGGCGATGTAGGGTACGCCGAGCGCTTTCCAGTCTTCGAGTCCGATCGGGTTGGCGAGGACAAGGTTGGATACGAGGTCGGGGTACATGAGTGCGAAGCGCGTGGCGAGCATCCCGCCGAAGGAGTGGCCGATAACAGTTAGGTTGTCCGAATCCCTGACGCCGAGGGTGGTTAAGAGGTTCCGTGTGTTGAGCGCGAGTTGGTGCAGGGTGAATTGGTAGGTTTGGGGCTTGGAGGACTTGCAGAAGCCTACTTGGTCGGGGATGATGACGCGGTAGCCGGCAGAGCTTAACACTGTGGCGGTTTGTGCCCACGTTGCGGCGCAGAAGTTTTTCCCATGGAGGAGCACCGCGGTTTTGGCTGCGGATGGCCTCTTGCCATACTCATAGCGGTAACCTCGCTCGGCTGGGACGTCCATGTAGGCCATCCCAAGGGTTTGCCCTTGGAAGGTGAAGTTGTAGAGCTGGATGGGCCATGGATAGGTGAAGTTTGAGCCGTGGAGGTCGGAGGAGAAGGGACCGTTGACGATGTTGCCGTTGGAGGTGGTCATGGAGGAGGCGAGACATGCTGAGAGGAAGAATAGAAGAAAAAAATACCGGGTGTCGGCAGAAAGCTTCATCATGCTTACTGCGGATATCTTACGGGGATAGTTATGCGTTGATCGATTTGAATTGCGAGAACTGACCTCACGATGCATCCGACCGATCTCTTTGAGTCTCCATTGCCACACCAATCATTCCATCTTAATGTTACACGAAGGGTGTTGCCCCCTACCTCAAACAGCAAATCATGCCCCAAAGAGGAAGCTTCACCTGCGAACCAAATCCATCGAATTGAAATGCCCGGTGATGACGGAGGGGAAACTTAAAAAGCAGCAGGCATTCTAAGTGAGCATGCATGAGCGGGTTTCTGTCGAAATCTTCGTCCTGGACAACATGAGATGCACAATTTGACCAAGAGAAGGGCGCCTGATAAAAGAAAATGATGCAAAAACTCGAAAAAGAAACAGAAACTGCCGATTTTTTTAATATGATCAGACCCGGGCTTGAACCGGGAGACCTTCAGTGTGTTAGACTGACGTGATAACCAACTACACCATCCGACCAATTAATGCTGCTGTTGACAATGTTTAGAATAGATAAATGGACTAATTATGGATCGCTTTTGGGAATGGAGTTGCTGTGATGGTATTGTATTCTCATCATGAAGGCACGGAAACAGCTGTAAATGGGTTAACGTACTTGATAAGCGAGCGCCGCAGATAAGCGAGCGCCGCACTTTTCCATGCGACGCGTTTTACCTCTACCCAACACCAATTTCCTCATCATCCCAACATGCCTGCTACTTTGAAAGAAGCCAGGGTAATCTTGGCTCTTGAAGCTATTCAGAAAGACCAGAAACTAAGCATACGAGCTGCAGCAAGAATCTATGATGTTGCCGAACGAACTATACTTCGTCGACTCGCCGGCCGTCATGCACGACGCGATACTCCAGCCAACTCCCGCAAGCTGACGGATCTGGAGGAGCAGACGATAGTTCAGTACGTGGTTGAGCTATGTACTCTCGCATTTCCTCCCAGATTGGGTGGTGTGGAAGATATGGCCCACCAGCTGCTATCTGCACGCGACACGCCCCCTGTTGGCAAACGCTGGGCACACAACTTCGTCAAACGCCAGCCAGAGCTCCGAACGCGTTATACGCGTAGATACGACTACCAGAGGGCCAAGTGTGAAGATCCGAAGGCCATTAGCGAGTGGTTTGCTCTTGTACAGAACGTCAAGGCCAAATACGGCATCGTGGACGACGATGATACCTACAACTTCGACGAGGTGGGGTTCATGATGGGCATTATCTTCGCGAGCATGGTAGTCACGACTCGGATGGCCGTGGCAAGGCAAAGCTGGCCCAGCCAGGCAACCGCGAGTGGGCAACGGTAATCCAGGCAGTCAATGCCCTCGGCTGGGCCATCCCTCCGTTCATCATCTTGGCCGCGCAGCACCACCTCGCCAACTGGTACACCGAGTGCGACCTCCCAGCCGACTGGTGCATTACAACCACCGACAATGGCTGGAAAACCAATGAAGTGGGCCTGGATTGGATCAAGCACTTCGACTTCCATACAGCACCTCGTACGAAAGGCAAATATCGGTTGTTGATCCTCGACGGCCACGAGAGCCACCACTCGACCGAATTCGAGCTCTATTGCCAGCAGAACAACATCATCACGCTCTGTATGCCTCCGCATTCCTCCCACCTCCTCCAGCCACTCGATGTTGGCTGCTTTGGGCCGTTGAAGCAGGCATACGGCCGCCAGGTTGAAGACTTGATGAGGATGCACATCAACCACATCAGCAAGCTCGAGTTCCTCTGTGCCTTTCGCGAGGCCTTCTTTGCCTCCATCACCGAGAAAAACATACGGGGTGGCTTTACGGGGGCTGGCCTTGTTCCATTCGATCCAGAGAGGGTGCTTTCCAAGCTGGATGTCAAGCTTCGTACACCAACACCCCCGACGTCACAACCTGGCACCCCACCACCTTAGGTCTTCCAGACACCCCACAACCCCCCGAGAAGCCGACTCGCAGTCAACGCTCATCAAGACTCGCATTGCCAACCATCAAAACAGCTCCCCGACTCCGATGTTGGCTGCTGTGGACCAGCTTACCAAGGCTACGAAAGCTATGATGCACGAGGTGGCCCTTCTTCGGTCAGAGACGTCTTCGCTCCGCAAGGCCAACGAGGCACTAAGCAAGCGCTGGAGAGCCAAAAGAACACGCGTTCAGCTTGGAGGGTCACTTTCTGTACAGAATGCACAGAATTTATTGGGCCAGAGGGCCGTTGGCGGGGAGGGAGCGCAAGAAATGCAGTTGGATGGGGGTGATGCAGGGGCAGGTCGTGCGAGTGTTCGGTGCTGCAGTGTGTGTGGCAAGCCTGGTCATAATTCCCGCACTTGCCAGGAGGCTGCAGAAACATCTCATTCAGCTGTTTCTGATGTAATTATAGTTGGTTCCTAATGTTGTGGTGTGAAAATTGAAGGTACTTGTTGTAGGGAGGGTAAAAGTGCGGCGCTCGCTTGTCTGCGGCGCTCGCTTATCAATACAATACAATACAATTTATTAACGCCCGGCGGCTAAGCCGAAAGGGCAACTATTACAATCTGACTATGCATTTCCCAAGATATGACATGATTTCGTCCAAGCCCATACAGAGTCCATTCTAGTACATGCAGTCCCTTGTTCCATTTCTCTTCGGATTCCCGTGGGTTAGTGGGATTGTTGGTAGGCTGGCTTGAAGGCGATTCTCCAAGTGTTCAACGTCCTATCTTCGGCGGCTGAAGCGGTGCCTGCTATCCCAGGCACGAGGTGAGGGTTATGAGTTCGGTTGGGTGTGGTGGTTAGATGTCTTAGTCGGCCTGCAGTCGATGGGTGTCAAGCCGACCCGTGGCCATCGCAAATCGTATGGTTGCCCGAACGGCCACCATATTGGGAGTCCAGTCTTTATTGTCCGATGTCGACTTCCCTCCTAGGTAGAAGGAGATATTGCTCCTGTGGGGTATCTGTGCATTCGAGCATCTCTGTTCGGTATGTTGTCCATTTTTTGCATCGGAAAAGGAAGTGGTCCACTGTTTCTTTTGCTTGTCCGCAGTCGCACTGATCTGACGATGATGCTCCAATGCGGTGGAGGTAGCCGTTGAGTCTTGCCATGCCTGTTCTCAGCTGAGCAAGTATGCCAGCCTCCTGTCGTGATAGGTGCTCGTAAAGCAGTTGGGTATGTTTGCCTGGTAGTGCTGCATCAACTCTCTTGGAATGAGCTCCAACTTTGTCTGGCAGACGATTTCTGGTGCCTCTGTTGGACTGCGCCAGGTTGAGGATTGTCGACCGCATCCTGGGCGTATGTACCTCCTGGACGGCGCCGTCTCGAGTGGCATGTTTGGCGTTCTCCTTGGCGATTTCCCAGAGGTTGCTTTGCTCGCCCGCAGGGAGCCATCGGACTGTGACTGTATTCCTGTTCTTCTGTAGCGCCCTGATCGACTCGTAAATATGGCGGATATGGTGTCTCGCTTATCAAGTACGTTAGGGTTCTGTGCGCGAAGTGAAGTGGAACCACTGTCTGAATAAACCCGGACGCTAACCCCTGGTTGTAGTTAACATGCCAGGGGAGATTCCCCGGGATCACACAGAAGGAATCAAGAAACGCCTAATAACTTCTGTATCATAAACGATAAAAGATAGGGTGGCTGACGCTTGCAAATTCACAAAATGAAGACTTGTGAAGGGATCTCAATCTACACCCTTGTTCATTCAGTCTCTTCGATATCTCTAGTTGCAGGACTCACTGGCAGCGGAGAAACCAGAATGTCCTGAATACAATGCCCCCATGTCATTCTTGCGTAGATTATTTGTGATGCTTCTATAATAATCGATCGACCGGTTCCTCCCTCGACTGCTGCGTAACCTCCCATAACATGGATGTTATGCCCAGCTCTATTATCCCCTTCTTCTTCCGCTCAACTTTTGCATTCACAGTCCGCTGATAGTTCTTCTCCCACTTCTCAATCAACGTAACACTATCAGACAGCTTGATCTCATGTCCCGGCTCAGATGCCCAGCTTCTCCTCTCATTCTTGGCCCCCTCACCCACTTCCTCTTGCCCTCCGGTTTCACCCACTGGGCTCATCACATCAACCAAAACCGTCCTCCTCAACCCCAGACCACCCTTTGCCCCAGGCACACTAACCTCCACCGCTCCCGGTCTCTCGCACACTTCCTTCGCCAGCTCAACCAACCCCTCACTCTGGCTCCCATTCTGAACCAAATCAACAAAACAATCCAACCCCACTCCTTCCACAAGCACCCTCGCAACAAACCCACACCTCAAATTCCTATTCCAAAACGTCACCACCACCAACTGATGCAACCCCATCTCATTCCCCATCGGTATCCCTCCCACCCGTATCGTCCTAAACTCCCTGTTCCACACCACATCCCGCCCCTGGATATCAACAACATCATATCCCGGCGCGAGCAGATCTGCCGCACGGAGGACAATCACTTCTTCTGCAAACTTGGATTTTGGGATCTGGGAAGGGTTATTGGAGATGTAGATCAGCCTGGTCTTTGCTCCTGCAAATTCCGACAGCGAGACCAACGTGAGAGAGCGGGTGCGGGTGCGAAGGAAGACATTGGGTGTTGATGTTGCGGTGAGGAGGATTGCGAGGCGGGAGGAGGGGTTGTGTGCTGGATGGCAGTTTAGGATGGCGAGGTGTTGGTTGGAGGTGGAGGTTCGGACGAGAGGGAGGGTGATGTGCAGCCCGGCATTGGTCATAGTGTAGGCGGTTGTGCGGTGGGATGATGGAGGGGATGTGATAGTGTGTTCCATGCCGGCAAAGTCGTGAGGAGATTTAGCAAGAACGGTGGTAACTCCGATCATCTCGTCGTAGGAGAGGTTGTCGAAATCTGGGTGGTAGTGATGGGGAAATGGAGGGCCGCGGCCGAGAGCTCCCCAGGCAAAGATGGAGTGGTCATTTGACCGCTTGATGATCTCTCTCTGCAGTCGAAGGAAGGCATTCTCCCCCTCACCGTATATGATGGGCATGTTGATGCCAAAAAGGCCCATGAGCGAATAAGCCATGTCTTCGTGTCTCGTGGTTGTCCGGTTGGCGGCCCAGGACAGGCGTTGAGCAACGCTGGCGTGGTGGAGGAGTTTCGGTTCGAGAAGGGTCAATTCGTCAATCCCAGTGATACTCTCAATTGACTTGACCAGAGAAGATTTCGTCCCCAAAACTCTCCATCCTTTGGCGTAAAATACCACCTTCCGAGGGGCCAACAGTTCTTGAAGCGTCCACCCTCGACCGAACCACCTGCTCTTGTTGAAGTGGTCTTTCCAAGTCAAGTAACCTTCCGTAAAATCGTCGAAATGAACGTCTTCCAGGTACGCGTAGCACACAGCAGCCTGCTGGTACCACCTGAACATGGAGTTGGTGGCTTCTGAAACCTCGGCACTGCTCCGCTTGTCGATGCAACAGGTGTCGACCCAAACATACTGGTGCCCGTCCTTTTCTGCCTGGCCGCAGGCGTATGCAATTTTGTCGTAGCCTGCTTTGAGCAC